ACTAGAATTTATTACAACAAACAACTCAAAAATATTTTCGTAGGACTCACGATTGCATTAACCACATGCAACAAGGCTTTGAGCCACGGGGTTACCCCTAGTGGATGAGTTATAATTGCATGAGGGTTTCCAGAAATGATACCCACAAACATTAACTCTCCCCCTAACGTAGAATCTGTATTCTCCAATAGTCCAATGCAATGAATACAAGAACACAAATATATGCATCACTGGAAGCACAATCAACCTAGCCAATGCAAAATTACTGCTAGCCAACCAGTTAATCCCCAAGTGCTCATAATCAGATAAGGACAAATAAGTAGATAGTGCAACTGCAATACTCAAATCTAAAGAACATTTAGACTTGATTTTCATTCGAACCATGCTTCAACTTCAAATCTCACAAAGTAGATCACTCAACAATAGAAGCTTTAAGAGATTGGCACATATTTATGCTCACTCATGTAGAGTGGATCAATGTGTAGCAAAAGCAAATAATCCGACATGCAAATATCAACAAACGCTACTCATAACAAAATAGATAGCCTCATGGAATGAATGCCAAATACTAAGAAAAATCAACTACGCACTAACACACTATCATTTTTGTTCGCCTCTTCAACCATCAAACAATTCTACTCTGGGGCCGGCTAGGGCTTTCATTTGGCTATTATATCGGTAAAGGTCATGAAAGATAGTAACGGGATTTGACAAGTGACAATCTGAACATTCACAGAGGTAAGAGGTTTAAAACCATCTTAACCCTTTCTTTTTTTTGTTTGAATCACTTCACCATTTCACTATCTCCACTTCTAACTCTGTTAAATCCACTGATAACCTTCAAGCACACTTTTATTTGAACACATTAAAAGGAAAAGACAAAAGATTTTTTTTTTTGATTTTTTATTCTTTTTTCTTTTTTGGAATACAAAAACAAAAAACAAAACAGCTCACACTCTCTCAATTACTTTCTTTCCCAAGTCTAACACCTTGTTTCCCTTGATGATTGTCATCTACTTCTCAGAATGTACAAGTTTAACAAGAAATGGGTTTGGCATGAAGGCTCAACTTGGCTCCGAAAGGTAGTAAGCGATTGGAGTGAAAACACACACACACACACACACAAAAGAGTTTCAAAGTAGCAAAAATGACCTAGTTTCATCCCACAGAAGTAAATACGATTCTCTAATCGATAAAGTGAACAAAATTGGTCAAGTGCGAATGAAAGTGATTATTCTTAGCATTCAACCAATATGAAGAAACAATGAGACCAACAACAACTTAGTGCACTTATGAATGAAATTCATGGAGTAAATATATGCAAAATAACCCTCAAAATAGAAAAGAATGTCTCGACATTGCACATGGGTTACAAGTCTCTACTATCATCCTTCAGATTATCAAGTCAAAATGCCTATCAATCTAAGCATGAGAGTCACAATATCCACAATATCAATCCAACTCTAAAATGAGCACAAGAGGACACTAATTAAATTAGCAGTTCAGAAACATTCAACTATGTTCATATGATGAAAACAATGCACAGCCTTGACTCATTCTATTCATTGCACAACTTATGGAGTATATCATATGTTCAACAAAGAAATTAAATCCTCTCCCCTCAACTTAAAGTCCACATTGTCCATAACGAGGTAAAACAAAATTAACATGACAAGAATGATGGAGAGATCACCTCGAAGAATCAACAAGTACACGTAAGCAAATAAAGGCGGCAAAGATGTGCCCCAACATAGAAACAAAGGTATGCTTGCACAAGTTAGTGGCACAAGGAAGCCCACAAAAGAGATACACAAAACAATGCATAAGGGCTACCAAGATAAGGTAAAGAACATAAAAATAAAGAGATAAAACAAAATAATAAATAAAAAAAACTAATAATAATAAAAAAAATTAAAACTCGTTGGAATAAGAAGGCAAAAAATAAAAAAAAAAATGGATAAAAAATATTAAAATAATTAAAAAATGTAAAATGTTTTTTTTTTGAATGAAAAATAAAATAAAATAAAATAAAAAAAGAGTAAACGATAAGAAAGAAAAAAAAAGTTATTTTTTTGTTAAGAAAAGAAATAAGTAAAAGTAAATAAATAAATTAAAAAATAAAAATAAAAACTTTTTTTTTTAAATAAAAGAAAATGGTGTGCTCGAGCACAAGTGATTTGTGCTTGAACAAAGAGATGCAGTAACCTTTTGGGGCTTTATGAGATGTGCTTGAGCAAACTGATGTAGTAGCATTTTGGAAATTCATGAGATCTTATGCTCGAACACATGAATTTGGTGCTCAAGAAGAGGCAACGTTGTGCTCGAGCGTAAGTAACTTATGCTTGAGCATAGATGAACCAAATGACTGCTTACAATGAGATGAGCCTATGCTTGATCACATCCACAGCAAGCTCGAGCACATGACGAAGTGATTTCTAATCCTAACAAGAAAAAAAATAAAATGAAAAATAAAAATAGAGAAAACTCCAACAACCTAATAATAAACCAATCTCCTCGTAAAACTAATTGGAATAAGAAGGCAAAAAATTAAAAAAAAAAAAAATTGGATAAAAAATATTAAAATAATTAAAAAAATGAAAAATGTTTTTTTTGAATGAAAAATAAAATAAAATAAAATAAAATAAAAAAAGAGTAAAAGATAAGAAAGAAAAAAAAAGTTATTTTTTTGTTAAGAAAAGAAATAAGTAAAAGTAAATAAATAAATTAAAAAATAAAAATAAAAACTTTTTTTTTTTTTAAATAAAAGAAAATGGTGTGCTCGAGCACAAGTGATTTGTGCTTGAACAAAGAGATGCAGTAACCTTTTGGGGCTTTATGAGATGTGCTTGAACACAAGTTACTTGTGCTTGAGCAAACTGATGTAGTAGCATTTTGGAAATTCATGAGATCCTATGCTCGAACACATGAATTTGGTGCTCAAGAAGAGGCGACGTTGTGCTCGAGCATAAGTAACTTATGCTTGAGCATAGATGAACCAAATGACTGCTTACAATGAGATGAGGCTATGCTTGATCACATCCACAGCAAGCTCGAGCACATGACGAAGTGATTTCTAATCCTAACAAGAAAAAAAATAAAATGAAAAATAAAAATAGAGAAAACTCCAACAACCTAATAATAAACCAATCTCCTCGCAAAATCCACAAGTACTATTTTTCTGCGGGTTTGGGTCGTGACAGTAACTTACCCTACTCTTCAACAGGGTGACAGACTAGGTTGATTTGGTATCCTGAATTGGGACCTAAAAGCTATCTCTGGGCATTGAAACCAGACTTTAGTCTCCGAATTTCCAAACATTTGCGTTTTAAGCTTATCTGTTTGAACTCTACTTTTCGCCATTGTAGTTGGTTTCTTAGGAACTCACTAGAAACACAGTTGTATGGCTACACCAAGCCATTTGATGCCATTTAGGCACAACAAACACCAAAGGACTTACACCTTTATAGGATTTAAAGTCTCATAGATACAACACAAGAAAAGCTCGGGTTTCCTCTCGAAAAGAGATAAATTTAATGTCTTCAGTTGGATGCAATGAATCACCATTAATTAACTAATTCCCCATTTCACATTAGGCCTAAGTCCACTTAGCTCGTCATCTCTAGGCCAACTAACTACTTGCACATTCTGTCGAGGTATGTGCATTGGACCACAAGCACCAGGTTGTAAGAAATCATTCTCAAACGGTATTGAAAACCGCTCCCGCTTAATTTAGGGTGGAGTCTTAATCGAAGGATGAATGGGTGCACTAGCAATGGAAGGTAATTCTTTTAATGGTGGAGATGTTTTTTCTACAGAATCTTCTACCACATCTACCAAGGAACACTCCTTCATTGGGTGTTGATCAGAATCATGAAACACATTTAGCCTAACATTCATATTCCCAAATGATATATCCATCACCCCAGTCTTACAATTGATGCATGCATTAGCCATAGCTAAGAAAGGACGGCCTAAGATGATAGGAATTTGTTTGTTAGGATTGTGTACTAGTTTCATGTCAAGAACAAGAAAATCCATAGGAAAGTTGAACTTATTCATCTTCACTAAAACATCCTCTATCAATCCATGCGGTATCTTATTTGACCTATCAGCTAACTGCATGGATACCGTTGTGGGCTTTAACTCTCCCAATCCTAATTGCTCATATACCGAGTAAAGTAAAATATTAACACTCGCTCTTAAGTCCCAGAGTGCTTAGTCTATGGAATGACTTCCTATGACACATGAGATGGTAAGGGCACTAGGATCTTTGAACTTTGATGGAGTAATATGTCGGATAATAGAATTGACTTACTTAGAGAGTAGGACTTTATTATACACATGTGCTCTAGATTTTATCTTTTGGGTGCAAAGGTCCTTGAGAAATTTGGTGTATGAAGGGACTTGTTTGATGGCGTCAAGCAATGGGAGGTTGATTTTAACTTGCTTGAAGATTTCTAGCATCTAGTACCCTTCTTTCCAAAAGGAAAAAGAGTCTTCTAAGCAAGTAGGGAATAGGGTGAAGAATTGTTGAGTTTGAATATATTTTCATAATATCCTCTGCTCACTTACAATGATATATATATACCTATCAGATACAATGCTAACAATCCCAACTAACTAACCACCTCTAACTAACTCTGTTATAACTAACCACTTCTAACTAACTCTGTTACAATATGATCTGCTAGATTATGAGCTGCTGCAGATGGATTGTGATCTGCTGGATTATGAGCTGCTGCAGATGGTTCGCTATCATTCCTTGTCAAGCGAATGGGCGAAGGAGAGACCATGAGCTTGTGAGTCAGATAGGAGAAGGGAGCAGTGGAAAGGGGCTTGGTGAAAATGTCAGTTAACTGGTCTGTTGTGGGAACATACTTGAGAAGGAGTTGGTGGGCTGTAACTTTATTGCGAACAAAATGGCAGTGGACTTCGATGTGTTTGGACCTGCTATGAAACACCGGATTGGTAGCCAAGGATATAGAGGACAAGTTATCACATCATAAGATGGGAGGAGAGGTGTGAGGAATAGAGAAATCAACAAGCAACATTTGAAGCCAAGTTAACTCTGCTGCAGTATGAGCTAAAGAACGGTATTCTGCTTCGGTGGAAGAGCGAGATACTGTTGATTGCTTTTTGGAAGACCATGAAACCAGATTATTGCCCAAATAAACACAATAGCCAGAAGTAGAACGTCTGTCAGCTGGATCCCCAGCCCAATTGGAATCACTATATGCTTGTAAACCAAAATGACTAGGAGTAAAATGAAGACCATGGGCCAATGTGCCTTTCACATATCTTAGGATGCGTTTAACGGATGAGAAATGACCCACTGTGGGGGAGTGCATGAATTGACAAGCTTGATTCACAGCATAAGACAACTCAGGTCTGGTGATTGTAAGATATTGAAGGGCCCCAACAATGCTACGATAAAGAAAGGGTGGGAGCATGGCAGAGAATCAGCAGCTTCGTTTGGTAGTTTGACAGATATAGGTGTGGCACAAGGTTTGCAATAAACCATGCCTGCTTTGATAAGAAGTTCTTTAGCATACTTATGCTGAGAGAGGAAGAAACCATGAGAGGTAGGTTGAACCGAAATCCCAAAGAAGTAAGAAATATTGCCTAACTCCTTCATAGAGAAAGCAAGGTGCATATGAGCCAACAAAGTTTGAATATAAGACTGATTATTGCCGGTTAAAAGAATGTCGTCCACATATATCAAAATGTAAGTAACAGAGGTGGAAGTTTTGCGAACAAATAATGAAGAATCACACTTGCTTTGAATAAACTCTTCGGAGAGAAGAAAAGAAGAAAATGTGGAGAACCAAGCCCGGGGAGCTTGTTTGAGACCATAGAGAGCCTTGGAGCTTACAAACTAAAGAAGCATTTTGTGGATCAACAAACCCCGGTGGCTGGTCCATATACACCTCCTCCTGAAGCTGGCCATGTAAGAATGCATTGCTAATGTCCAATTGTTTGAGAGGCCATTGATAATGTAAGGCCAAACGAAGTAAGATACGAATGGTGGGTTGTTTGGCCACTGGACTGAAGGTGTCCAGAAAATCCACACCCTGCTGTTAGAGAAATCCCTTAGCCACAAGGCGAGCTTTGTGCCGGGCAATAGTACCATCCGAGTTGCGTTTGATTTTAAAAACCCACTTGCAGCCAATAGAATGTTTAGAGGATGGAAGAGGAACAAGAGACCAGGTACCCTGTTGCTGAAGAGTAGTGTATTTATCCATCATCGCTTGGAATCAAACTGGAGAAGAAAGAGCATGTGTATAGGAAGTGGGCTCGGTGGAAGAATCAACAGGAAGAGAATGAGAAGAAAGAGAGGTAGACAAACAGAAAGGCTTGCTTTTGGATCTGGTGTGCATGGGGTGAGTATTAGTAGAAGGAGGAGGGAGAGGTAAAACAACCTCGATAGAACCAATTGGAATAGAAGGAGAAGAGGTAAGCTGAGAGGGAAGATGGGAAACAGATTGTGGGACAGCAGATTTAGATGCAGAATGAGGTTGGGTAGGAGGCCGAAACACAGCAGATGGAAGTGAGGCAGACTGGGAAATAACAGGGTTAGCAGAAGTAGGCTTAGCAGGAGGCCGAAATATAGCAGATAGAAGTGAGGCAGACTGGGAAACAACAAGTTGAGCAATAGCAGCAGGTCGGTGGATAGGGGAAGGATACCAAAAAAAGTGTTGTAAACTGGACAAAGAAGGGGGAGAAGTAAGCGCAGTAGAAGAAGCAGCAAAAGGGAAAATATGTTCTTGAAATCGAACATGTCTAGAAAGAAAAATAGAACCTTTGGCAGAATTGAGACAACGATAACCTTTAACAGATGGATGATAACCAAGAAAAATGCAAGGAGTAGATCTGGGAGCTAATTTATGAGAGGAGTATGGCTTCATCCAAGGAAAACAGAGGCATCCAAACACTTTCAGATGTGTGTAGTTAGGTTTGGTTTTAAAAAGAAGTTCAAAAAGAGAGCAGTTCGACCGAGAAGCACTAGGAAGTCTATTGATGAGGAATGTGGCAGTAGCTATGGCATCAAACCAGCAGGTAAGAGGTAAAGAAGAATGATGAAGAAGAGAGATAGCTGTTTCAGTGATGTGCAAATGCTTCCTTTCTGCAACTCCATTCTGAGATGGAGTATGAGGACAAGAGTGTTGATGAAGTATGCCATGAAGATTCATAAAGTTGGATATGGAATGATTAGAAAATTCACCGCCACCATTAGTTCGTAAAATTTTAAGAGGAAGATCAAATTGTTTTTCAACAAAAGCCTTAAAAATCATGAATTTGGAAAATACCTCACTTTTATTAAAAAGAGGATAAATCCATGTGAATCGACTGAAATCATCAACAAACATTACATAATATTTGTAACCAGTAGAGGAGCCATGAAACGGACCCCAAACATCACTATGAATCAAAGACAATGGATTATTAACAGTAGAATTTGAAAGTTTAAATGGAAGTCTATGACATTTGGAAACAGAACAATCAAAACAACTGAAGTCATTTTTATTGAAAACAATTGACAACTGAGACGTAAGTGGTTGAAGCTTTGAAAAAAAGGGATGGCCTAATCTTTTATGCCAAATTTCAGCAGATGATGTTGAACCAGTAGTAGAAAATGCTGCAGCAGCAGTAGATGAAGGCAAAGACAAAGCATGAGGTGAAGTAAAATGATATAAACCATTGGCATGATATCCTTTGTGAAGAATAGCCTTAGAAACTTTGTCCTAAATGGCAAAGGAAGAGTGATAAAAAATGATAGAGCAATTGTTGTCTTTTGCTAATTGTTGTACTGAAAGAAGATTAGATGAAATAGTAGGAACATGAACTTTGTTAAGCTTAAAAGAATGATGTGGAGTTGGCAAAATACCTTTCTGTAGACGTCCCCAAACGTCCCGGGAGAAAATCCCGTTTTGTTCATTGGGCTCACAATAGTTCAGACTCAATGTCACGGTCCTGTATCTAATCTCGCAGAGTGCAATGCAAGACTGATGAATCATCAAAGAGTCCAAATCCGGCAAATCATTTTGAAAAACTAATTTTTAGAAAGAAGTGTCAAACATGGACTGCTTTGCCAGATAGAGAGTCGTAACCTAAATATTTTATTTTGGGAAATTTAGGAAACCCTGACTCGTGCCTAAGGCCACGTGTCCGTCATCACCAAAGTTGCCTCGGCTCGGGAACTTAGGTACGATTGGGGAAGGTCACTTCGTGAGCACCCCCGCTCGCCCAATTAAAGATCGGCCTCTACTAACCATGATATCGAGTTTTGAAAACATTATGTGCTCTTATTCCGGTTTATTAGCCTATAATTACTATGTGATGCGCACAGCATACAAGTATAGACTGGATTGCCTAAGTTGGAACAAAGCATCGCATATCCGTTTGTTTTGAAAATGGATTGAAGTTTGCTACTCGCAAGTAGGCTAAAACACGGGTTTCGATGAATTATTCCAACTCAAGCAACCCAACCTTCACCCACAGGCATTCAGGCAGTTATATCACATAAACACATAGCCTCATGGTAAGCATGCTATCATGGCAGTCACTCACACACATGCAAGGATGCTAAAGCATAAACACTTACCGAGTACTCCGAGCCAAAGAAAGAAACTAATTAGAAATCATGCATGAATCCTAACTATGCTGAGATGTCTAATGCAACACATGCAAAAATGCAACCACAATAGGCTCGGCTATTCTAAGATGGCATATGAGATGCAACAATCGATACACGTATTCAACTTGGAATTGAAATACAATGCAGTTAGCATGATGCGCCGAGCCTGGTGCATGCAATACAGATGAATGAATGCAAACATGCGAACATATAGATGCTAATTAAAACATGCCCTAAAACTAACCATCATAAGCTGGTAAATAAAAGAGAGAAAGACGTGAGGTTGGAAGACATACATCACACACACGCACACTTATTACAACATTGCCCTCATCGGAGGGTCCGAATAAATAATACACAACCGAATGAATAATGAATTATAGTTAATTATTACACAACCCTAATTAATTAACAAACTAATTAAAATAAATAAGCTAGCATGCAAAACATATGAAATGGACTGCCTCAGCTCGGTCTTGAATGATAAGGAATACATGCATGCTCGAGTCGCCTTGCCGAAAAATCCATCGCGATGCCCCGGTTTGCCTCTGTTTGCAACTGGTCCTAGAACACTGTACAAAACTCCAGAAGGCTGAAACTCCACCATGCTGCGGGGATACTATCGACCAGTTTTTGCTGCTGACTTCCGGTTTGCTACAACAGAGAGCAAGAAAGGGGCATGGCAAAGTATTTTCAACATATGTGTGCACGACCACTCTCCCCGTCATTTCATAAGCTCTAGGGAGTGTAGTCCTCGATCCTCGTGCCACCAATCACGCATCTCGATGCATGATGGCCGAGGAGTCGGATTGCACGACTCGATGTAAAATAAATGCACATATAAATACAATAAGGCCTAAACTCCATCATGGGTAATCTGGAGTGTCGGCGACTGAGAATTGAGGCACGTTTCGTCACTTGAAGTACGAAACGTCCCTCGTTTCCCGTGTTTGGACTAAACCCTACTCCAAACACAATGCAATACTCATGGCATGTATGAATGCAACTCTAACATGCAACCTAAACATAATGCCACTAAATGATGCAAACATGCAAATGATGGTATGCAAACATGCTACTAGCATACACAATGCTATGAAATAATCAATGGCATACTCAATGCACATGGAAACTATATGGCATACGCAATGCACACATGGAGACTAACAATGAAATGATCAAGGCATACACAATGCAATGGTCAAACATGCAACAACATGGACTAAATGGCATATACAATGCAAGATGGACTTAAACTAAAATGAATGGGCCTAAACCACACCCATATCAGTGGCCAAACATGATGAAATTAAAGGCAGGAACACTCATGCAAACATGCCCAATGCAAGGGACCGAACTTAAGGCATCAACCGCCACTCTACCAAAGCATGGCAAGGGATGAAATATGGCATACAATCATACATTTTCCAGCTCTGAAATGACATGCAAGATGGTCCTGAATCATGCAGACACCTCACACAATGCATGCTAGATGACCCGAATACCAAAACTAGTGAAGCGCATTACACTAGAGGTACACAAAGCAATGCACAAATGGTCAAACTAGCCCTAAACAGACCCTAGGCAGGTCCAAGACAGTGGGAAGATGGTCTAAAATGATGGCTCGAAAGGCATGGAAATGAAGCTCATGCAATGGTCCAAAAACGAGGCATATAAGCACGACTCTCAGACGCATTTAAAGAGTGGAAAACATGGGAATATGGCATACATGTAAGCTCTAAAATATGATGCACAATGGCCTCAAAACATGGAACCACTTCAATATAAGCATGCAATAGGCTCCAAAACTCAAAGCTGGGCAAGGGTATTGAACTACAACCATGCATAGCAAGTATCATTCGACTATGAGGTATAAAAACAAAGCTAAGGCAGTCCAAAACATGTACAAAATCAGTTTAAATCATGGCCAAAAAGTGCTAGAATCAAAAGCCAAAATAGCATGCAATGTAAGCTAGTAAAGAGGATTTGCACTACAAGCATATGAGGCATTCAAGAGGTCACTAAACCAGAAAAACTCAGAGGTATGACATGCCAAATAATGCCCAAAAACCCACTGAAAAGTGATCAACACATGCAAGAATGACATGCTCCTTTGATAGGCTATAAAGAGGGTTGTTCTACACATGCAAGATGGACACCCAAAATGGCAAAATGGGCTCTGGAAAAAGCTTATGCAGGTCCTAAAACCCACCAAAAATGGCCGGAAACATGGCTTGGATGCATGCAAATAAGGGCTCCTTTGTTAGGCCAAATATGCTAGTAAATAAGACAAGGGGTGAGAGGGGCACCCCTCTCTGATTTTGGTGCTCAAAACAGCATGCTAGCCACTGAAAATCCACTGGATTTCAGTGGCTAAGAGACCAAACAAAGGTCAATGCAAAAGCCCTAAGGCATGGCTCAAAATAAGATGAAATGAAGCATGCAAAGCGGGTAGACGACCCCCAACCAAAAAATGGTCTTAAACAAACATATTAAGGACCTCAAAATAAGACCTTTTTCAGTTTATGACAAAGCCCAAATATTCTTGCAAGTATAGCTAAAACAAGGATCAAAATAATGCTAAAAAGAGGGAACTAGTGTGTTACC